CCAGCCTTAAAGGAACCAAGAGCTGGAGACTGGCGTGTGCTAGCTGCCTACACTCATGGTGGCTGAACACAAAGTTCTTTCTTGAAGAGGTTGGAGTGGTACAGCTTTGACATTTATGCACCATAAAATTCACACTGAGTGAGTACTGTTTAGTGATTTTAGTGAACACATAGCTGTGCAAAGTCACAATCCAGTTCCAGAAAGCTTCCACTTCCCAGAAGTGCTTGCTGGGTCATATTGAAAAGCTTTTGCACATCAAGGGAATTAATTACCAGAATGGGAGAAAATTTTTTCACCTATTCAACAGATACAGGATTAATATCCAAATATACAAAGAGTTCGAAAAACTAAACAGCAAGAGAACAGATAATCCAATTAATAAATGAGTAAATAAATGGAGTTCTCAGAGGAAGTTATGGCCAATAAATGCATGAAGAAATGTTCAACACCCTTCGCCATAAAGGACATGCAAATCAAAACTGCACTGAGATTCCATCTCACTCCAGTCCAGTTGGCAATCACCAAGAAAATGAGCACCAAATGCGGGCGAGGATGTGGGGAAAGGAACCCTCAACCACTGCTGGTGGGAATGCAAACTAGCGAACCTCTCTGGAGATCAGGATGGAGGTTCCTCAAAAACTAAAATTAGACCTACTTTATGACCCTGCTATCCACTCGTGGGCATGGATCTGGAGGAGTGTAAGCCGGTGTCCAAGACAGACTTTTAATCCATGTCTAGCACGGCACTACCCATAATAGCTGAACTTTAGAATCAGGCTACATGCCCAACGACCAATGACTGGACAACAATGGAGTATTATTAAACCATAAAGAAGAATGAAATTACATCATTTTCAGGAAAATGCATGGAACTGGAGATCATCTTGTTGAGTGAGATAAGCCAGACTCAAAAAGCAAAATATCACATCTCTCCTATGTGGAATCTAGACCTAAAATGACACCACCACCACCATTACTACTACTACTAGCAGGACAATGAGTATAAAGGGATCTGTTAGGCTAGGCACATTGACTTATGCCTATAAATTCAGATACTAGGAAGGCAGAGATTGGGAGGATCAAGATTCAAGGCCAGACCAGACAGAAGTCTGGGTATGGTGGTGCATAGCTATGACCCAAGTACACAGGAAGCATAAATAGGAGGATTGAGGTCTCGGCTGGCTGGGGCATAAATGAGAGACCCTATCCCCAAAATAACTAAAGCAAAAAGGGCTGGGATGGGGTTTAAGTGGTAAAGTGCCTACCTAGCAAGAGCTGGACCCTGAGTTCAATTCCCAGTACCACCAAAAGGTGGGGAGGGATCAACATAAGAGGGGAAGGGAACAGGAGAGGGTGTTGGGGTAAACATGATTACAGTATGCTGCACATACATGTATGTATACATACGTACATATATATGTGTGTGTGGGGGGGGGTGAAGATAGCACAATGAAACCCACTAAAATGTTTGAAAAAGGCAGGGGAGTTGGGAGTATAATAGGGAGGACTTGTTCAAAGTGCATTGTACCTATCTATGGGACCATCACAATGAAGCCCCTTATACAATAACATACACTAATAAAAAGGTGTGCTGTGTGTTCTTACTCCTCCTCCCAGCCACAGGAAACCACTGATCTATGTTTTTCCTCTAGATTTTCCTGCTCTAGAAATACTTCCCCATGCAGAGCCACACAGCATGGAGCCTTTTGACTCTGGCTCTTTCCTGTATGTTTTGAAGGTCGTCCATGTTGTGCACACAGTGTAGTTTGTTCTCCTTTACTGCTGGGTGGGTGCCGAGGGGAAGGAGGGATGTAGGGATGGAGGCATCACATCTTGTTTATCCATTTAAGGTTTCCGGGTGTTTCCTTGCCGGCCGTATGAACAATGGACCAATGAGCATTTGTGTTCGAGTCCTGGTTAGACACTATCTGTATCTCCTGAGTTCATACCTAGGAGTGTAATTACTGGCCATATGGTAAACACCTTTAATTTTTTAAGAAACTGCAAAATCGCTCTCCAGAGTGACTGTATCATTTTCCTGTCAGACCAGCAACATAGGAGTTGCAATGTATTACTCTGTGGTCAGTGCAATGAGGACTCCTTGTGCTTTCATGTGCTTTTTCACCATTCACATATATTTTTTCTTTTGGCAGTGCTGGAGATTGAACTCATGGCTTCATGCTTGCTAAGCAGGTGCTCTCCCTCTTGCACCATGCCTCCAGCCCTTTCCTTTTTGCTTTGGATATTTTTGAGATAGAGTCTCACTTTATGCTAGGACCTGCCTAGATCTTAATCCTCCTATTTGTGTTTCCTGGATAGCTGGTAAGACAGGCATGCACCATTGCACCCAGCCATTGGCTGAGATGGGGTCTCATGAACTTCTTCCCTGTCCTGGCCTTGAATCACAATCTTTCCTTATGTCTGCCTCCAAGAAGCTGGGATTGCAGATTCGAGCCACCACACCTGGACTTCGTTTACATATTTTCATGTGTGAAGTGTCTTTTACCCATTGTTTATCTTACTGAGCTATGAGTTCTTTACATACTCTGAATAGAAGTCCTTTATCAGATAAATGATTTGTGGCTGCCTTATTTTCTTTTTTTTTAAGACAGGATATCACTATGTAGCCCAGGCTGGTTGTGAACTTATGACCCTCTTGCTTCAGCCTTCTAAGCACTGGAATTACAGACATAAGCCACCCTGCCTGGCTCTTTTCATTTATTTAATTAATTGTTTATTCTGGAGTCAAAATTTTTAATTTTGATGAAGTCTAGCTTTTGCTTTTATGAATTGCACCTTTAGTGTCAGATCTAAGAAAACTTTGCCGAACTTAAAGCTAGATTTCCTGCTGTGTTTTTGCTACACAGTTCATAATTTTAGTTCTCATCGTAGGTCAGTGGTTCTCAGCCAGGGGACATTTGGGACTACGGAAACATTTTGTTTTTCACGCTGGGTGGGGGATGCTGTCAGCTAAAATGTTGAGGACAGAGATACTGTAAAACACACTACAGTGCAGAGGACACCCCACTAGGACACCATTTTCCTACCTAAAACATCAACAGTGCTGAGGTTGAGGAGCCCTGGCTGTTTTTTCTTTCATTTTGAGTATGCTTTTGTGTATGGTAAGAGATGAGAATCTAAGAGCTTTTACAATTTCTATCTGCATTTTCCCCACTTTTTCCAGAACCAACTGTTGAAGAGAACATTCTGCTACACTGAATGACCTCGATACCACTGAGGAAATCAGAGCATAAACAGCAGCACTTTTACCTGGCCCTGGATTCCTTATTGTGTTTCTTTGATCTACATGTCTCTTTTTACTCCAATACTGCATTTCTTGATTGCTGTAATTTTAGTCATTTTCCAAATCAGGTATTGTCAACGTTCCAACTTTGTTCTTAAAAAAAAAAAGTTTTGACTATTAGAGGATCTTTGCTTTTTCATATAAATTTTGGTATCAGCTTTCCAAGTTCTACAAAAGAGATGCCTAGGATTTTGATGGTGGTCACATGGAATCTGTAAGTCAGGTTGGGAACTATCCTCTTAACAATACTGAGTCTCCTAATCCATCAACTTCATACCTTTCTCCACAGATGTAGGCCTTAGTTTCTAGTTATAGTGTTTTATAGGTTTCTGTACACAGACCTTAAACTTCGTCAGTTTTATTCCTTTCAGAAGCTATTGTAAGTGAATTGCATTCTTCATTTTATTCCAAATTGCTTATTGATAACATGTAACAGTTGGTTTTGTGCATTGATTTTGTACCCATAATCTTGCTGAACTTGTTCTAAGTTTGAGTAGGGTTTTCTTTGATTCCTTATAATTTTTATATGTAGTACCACATACTCTGAGAATGACGAGTTTCACTTCTGTATTTCCAACCTATATGTCTTTAATTTCTTTTTCTTGATTTCTTCTCTTGGTAGAATCTATACTACAATGTTGAATAGAATTGGTAAGGGCCACAAGCTAACTTTCAAAAAAAAAAAAAGACAACAAAACTGAGAATTCTGAGAACATTTAGCCCTATGTGTTTTGGGTAAGAGACTGGAGACCCACAGAATTTTTGGGAAGATAAAGTGAGGTACCATGTGTGTAAAGTGCACAAGCCACTTGTGCACTGGCACAAGCCAGTCCTCATACCACACCATACCACCTTTTAGAAAGAGAATCTCAGCTGGTTACTGGTAGGCTAGCATGGAAGTCATTTTAGCACTGAGGATTCAGCCTTGAGTAGAGGCTGAGGCGGGCCTCATCTATGGCTGAGTTTTTCTGTGGCATGTCCCCACATTAGTGCAGTTTTTGTTAGCCTCCTAAAGTACTTTTGGAGGTAGGGAGAGGTAACCAAGCCCAGGAGGCTGTGGACAGAGTGAAGAACATGGACTTGGGCATGATGATATGTGCTAAAGTCTAGCTGTTGAAGATGATGACCCCTCTCGGGGTTATTTGGGGGTCTACATTATTAATGAACCTGGGGGGGGACCCTGAGTTATTTCTAGCTGCATTGCTACCTCCTTGTGGAAACAAGAGCTCTTCCACAGAAGAGGAACAGTGCCATGATGAACTCTTAATGGTGTCTTTGACCTCACTGGGATTGAACATGTCTCTCCTTTAAACTGTGACCAGCCTTCTAAAGTGTGCCCTTTGATTCAGCCCTAGCTGACTCCCCTTGAGGGACAGTAGGGACAGTAGGCATTAGGGTGGCCAGTGCAGACTCTGGTCTCTGTTGATGATGCCATTCCCATCAAGTAGAACGTTCCTTTAGTGTGGGAAGGTTGCCTGTCTACAACACCTGATACCTGAAATCTAATCTCGGCTATCCAAAATACTTCTTGGAAGCATGTAAATAAATATTTAAACGAGATTTAATTATGGCACTAACTGTAAGATCTAGTTACTTGTGCTAGGGTACTCAGACAGTCCAAGCCATCATCATTGTGCAGCACTTGCCAGCTGTCTCCCTTAATTACTGTGGGAAGACTCTCAGATACTTCTATGAACCTTAGTGACTAGTGAGTGTCTTTTATAACGAGTATATGACATGTCTATAAAGTTCTGAGAGAAAAAAATTATGGGGTTCTTTAGCTGTTCTCAGTAATAAAGCAATTTTAATGATTTTCTACTCTTTAATGACAAAGGCTCTGTGGCCTTTTAATTATGATCATTACTAAGATATAAAACTAGCATTCTGCAGAAGGAGCCCAAATGGGCTGGCCAATGCTTTTCTGAGACACAAATGCAGTCTTGATAAGTCATAGAACAGAGTTCTGAACATAAAACCTCATCAAGCGTGAGGGAGACACCCGAAGTCACAGGCATTCTCGGAGGTCAGTTCCTTCTTCTCACAGCTGTTTCTCACTTGAGTGTTCAGGCAGCTCGAGTGCTGTGTCTGCAGCTGCCATATGCCATTGTCTAGTCATTGCTGCAAGTAGTTCTCGAAGGCACAGACCTTGTGCTGAGTGATCGAATCTAGAGAGGGAAAGAGAAGCAGTTTGATATTTATTACAGCCAGTCGCAGCACTGCAAAGTAATAGCCTTTTTATGCATATACTAAATCATACTTTAAAAGCTTTAAATGGTTCAGAGCTGTCTTGTCCATAGGCCAGTCTATCCTGATGGCACATGTGGCTTTTAAAAATAAAGTAAATATAAATAAAGCAAAACAAGTAATTCAGTCTCCCAGTAGCACTGGACACAGGCACTCAACAGGCCACTCATCGTATTAGGTTATAGTACACAGTGGCCATTCCCCCCATGGCAGGATGCTCTGTTAGACGGAATGGGAAGGTTGTCTGTCTACAATGTAAGAGACCTGAAATCTAACCTGTTATCTCAAATACTTCTTGGTAGGGTGTAAATAAATTTTTAAATTAGTTTTAACTATGAGACTAACTGTAAGATCTAGCTAGCTGTGCTGTCTCATCCAGCTAGGCAGGTATTTTATGTGAAATACAAGCACATGCTTCCTAAAACTTGCTTGGTTTATTGTGGTTCAATTGAAGAGGCTCAACTTGTGGGCTCTAAAGGCCTGTAGGTTTGCAGAGTGATTGTTTTGTGAAAATTAGCTGCTGCTGAACAGTCAGCACAGGTGTGCCTGGCAGCTGGCCCTAACAGTCCTCCCCTCTTTCCTCAATACTAGAAAGCTTAAGGCTTTCGTACGCTACGTAACTACAATTACATTTGAAGGACCTTAAGAAGTCACGCTGGTGAACCATGGAAGATGGAAAGCCATAATGATGTACAGAACCAAGAAAAAAATGGGTTCATTCAATGCCTTTGGCTTTTCTTGTGCAAACTTTTACCATGAGAAAGTTTTTTTCTTATTTATGTACTCATATTTTATGGCTATTTTGTTTCACTGGACTTGGTTGAGCTGTAGGTAAAGAGCTGTTTCCTATACCATTCATAAAGTAATTCAGCTGTATTTTCTTCCAGGTTGTAAAAGCTCTATGGATTCTACTTTCACACTAGACTGCTGACCAATATCATTTCTGAAAACGATGCAGAAAGGATGATGCTTTCCTACTTAATATGAACATTCAACATAATCCAAAAAATTTCCAATTTTGGAAAATGAAAATTAATATATTTGTTTAAATGTTTACATGAAAGAGAAGATTCACAGGAAGACAATTTTGAAAACGAGGGTTAATAAGACAGTACTTCACATACCATATATTGAAAGCAATTGTACTGTAGTGTAATTACAGCAGTAAAATCGTATGTGGTTCCCACAGAACAGACAAACAGATCAATGGAGGAGAGTAACTGGAAACACACCCATAAAGAGGAATTATGAGATGACTCACGGGGGCGTTACAGATCAGTGGAAAATAGATGAGCTAAATAAATCACATGTTCCCCTTCTCGTACCACAGAGAAAATAAACCTCAGGTAGATGAAAGTTCCAGACATTAAGAAAAGCTCTAAATAGAAGACATAGGAGACTATTTTTAATGCTCACGGGGAAAAAAAACTTTACACGCAGTAGCACGAAAGTTAGACACCAAGCAGAGGGATAAATGTATTTTATTTATTTATTTGTTTTGGTAGTACTGTGGTTTGAACTCAGGGCTTCACGCTTGCCAGGCAGGTGCTCCACCACTCGAGCCACTCTGCCAGCCTTGTATTTGATTTTATAAAAGATAATAATAAAAAAATCAAAACCTGTCATACTAAAGACACCACAAAATTAAAGACAACAGCCAGAGAGAAACGATTAGCATGTGTGATTAGTGTCATTACACAATGTGAAAAAGATTATTCAATTAAAAATAGGCCAGGATGAGAAGAGGCAATGCGTGAAATATTAATCCCTTCTCACATATTTTCATACTGAACAGTAACTTAGTCATCTGCGAACCGAAAATTACATATTGAGATCTGTTTGTTTTAACTCATCAGATCACCAAGCACTGCAAATATGGGCGATGCCCAGTACTGGTGAGGATGTGGGGAAAATGCAACTGGCATGCTGTTAGTAGGCATGCAGACTGGTGCAGCCTCATGCATCAGAATTTACAGCACCCGGGGCGGGGATGTAGCTCGGTGGTACAGTGTTAGCCTAGCATGTGCGAGGTCCTGGGTTCAACCCCAGCACCAAAAAAGAAAAGACAAAAAAAAAAAAATTTACAGCATACACATCCTCGGGCACAACGACTCCTCTCTTAAGAATCTACCTCATAGAAATACTCATGTGGATTAGACTAGAGTATTTATATATCAAGACACTTCTTGAAAATTGAGTTCAAATTATTTCAGTTATGACACAGAGAAAAAGAGACAGAGAGAGACAGAGAGAGATTAAATAGCAGATACAGTGGAAATAACCCAAATGTTCAATGACAGGAAGTGGAAAAATTAACCACGGTACCTGTGATGCTTAAAAAGAATGGAGTAGCTACATGTCAAACTGGAAGGATCTTCTAGACTCAACAGCTACTTAAGGCTCATAGAAAATATGTGATCTTATTTACATAAAAACAAATCCCCAAATAATACCTAGGTTTACCTATATTTCTGTGGAAATCTGTTTCCTAAAAACAGCCGCAAGATATACTTCCATCTTTATGGAACTTACTTTAAGGAAGTGTAGTAAGATTGGGGGACCCAGTGTACATCTCTACTGCTTGAATTCTTTGATCATGACATCAAATATCACTCCATCCACCCACGCTTTCCATCCATCCATCAAAAGGCTGCTGGAGACAAGCTGACTTTTGAATTTTAAAAAAGATAAAAACAGACACCTAACGGTCACCTCCCAGCACAACAGCTCGCCCTTGCGCCTCACACGCTGTGTTTTGGACTTCTGAGAAGAGGTTCTGAGGCACATGTGTGTCCAGCCTGAGCACAGAGTCAGTGCCCTGGGGGGGTCAGAACAAAAGCCCATTTGACGGCTGAGTGATGGCTGGCAGCTGCGGGAGCCATACCCACAGAGCCCCTCGCAGCTCCGAGTTCCCAACTGTAAACACACGCAGGAAAGATGGTTTCTATCCAAGCTCATCTGGCATCTGAAGATAGCCACGTCCCTCAATTCCAATGTCACATCATATGAATAATCCTCAAACACCCAATAAAATGTGACCATGGGACAGATGTGAGAGTAATGCCAGTGCTAGCTAGAGGAAAGCGATACGAACAGTAAACTGAGCTGCACAGAACGGCTCCATGAAATTTAAATTGGAAAAAAAAAACCCCAAAACCTTTTCTTTTTTTAAAAAAATAAGGTTACTTAGCAAACCTTGGCACACGTTTTACACGAGTTAAAGTTTACGAGCCATACGTCTGTGTGGTCTTGCGGTGAGGAGATGGAATTGACATGCTGCCGACATTAATTTTTTAAAAAGTAGTGGGCAGGCCACCTTATTTAACTAAAACTCCAGCTGCCAACGGCTCGACAGGGCTGTAATACTGTGCGCAGAGATCAAGAGCACTTGGGGGCTGCTAGGAGCGGTTAGCTTTACTTATCAAATAAGCAGAGTTTCAGAGCTGGGAGAGACATCAGTGGCTCTGCAGCCAGACATCCAGTCAATTAAGGCATCTTCTCTACTTCACTATGGGATGAAGGTCAGTGGTCTCTGGGGACACTTTGGCTGGGCTGAACTTCTTGAGGCACCCCGCAGCAGCAGAGCCCAGTCCTTAGAAATGTTCCCAAAGTCCTTTCTCACGCCGAGCTCACAGCTACCCGCTGGGGAACTTTCATCATGGATCTCAGTTTGCTCCAGAACCAGCTGACCAGGTCTCTCCTGTCCTCTCCTCTGCAGCGGAACCAACCTTTTGTTCCCTCGCTTTGGCTCCCCTGGTGCTGCCGATGAGGCACCTCACTCAACATTCTTCTGATGCCCAGAACTCAGGTCTGGCATCATCTTCAATGCCTCTCTTTTTCCACAGTTAATCTTTCAGCGATTGCAGCTGACTCTGAAGTGACTTATAACACTTCTGTCAGCATTAACCTAGTCTTACCCGTCCGAAGTGATCATCTGACTCACTGCAACCGCCTAAAATTGCTGTGTTCCACTTAAAAACATGCACTGGAGCCCTTGCCCCTTAAGTAGAATCATTCCTGACTTGCACTTAGCACAACACGCACTTCTTATTACTGTCTATCCGGACCTTGAATGGTCCTATGGTCCATCGAGAAGCTGCCTGCTTCCCCAGCCTCATTCCTGTCCCACTGTCCTGTCTCCTTTGTGTCAGTCATTCCAGGCCTACTGCTTCTCCTGATCACTCACCCTTTGTCTTACCTGTTCCCTGGCCCGGCAGAGCAGACCTGCAGATCTGACGAGTCCATCTCCTCTTCCTCATTTGATGCTGGCTCAAATGCAGCTCTCAGCAAGGAGCCCGCTTACTGCCACCCGACGCACCTATTTTCCTCATAGCATTTACCCCCGCAGAATTTTGTCTAAATTTGTCTTTCGCCTTCTCCCTTAGTATGTGTGTCCCACAGGAGTGAGAATGGTATTTTTCCTGTTGATAGCTGTACGTTCAGTGCCTAGAATATGCTTGGCACACGAGAAGTGCAAAATAAATGTCTGTTGACTTAAATAAATGGATGACCTGATACCATGGGCTATGTTTGGAGGAAACAGCTCTAATAAGGTAGCAGTTCTGTGTTCTTTTTGGCCCTCACACTGCCTGGAGATACCCGACCCTTCTCTGAGGGCGCACTGAGGGCTCAGGCCAAGGACAAGACAGTCTGGCCTTCCTTGGCATTCCTAGCGCACCAACTTTTGATGGTTATCCAGGAAATGGGAATAAAATGAATTTAGGGCCAGACCTAACTTTGCTGTTATTTACTATTTTATTTATTATATTTTATAGCTATTATAGTTGTAGACACTAATAATTTCAGTAAGTAGATTTTATGAAGCACATTCTTGCGGAATTAGTTCCAACAGTTTCTGGATCCTCTTGGAAGACAGTTGTACCACATCTAAGTAAGATGATCTCTCTCTTCCTTTAGAATT